GAGCTGCGCACGAGCCCGGTCCTGCCGCGGATGCTGCAGGTGGAACATGCACAGAAAGGCCGCGTCCCCCCCTTCCGTGTGCGGCGGTGCAAGTGCCTGCAGACGCACGCGGTCACCGAGCCACCCCGAGGCCTCCTCGCGCCGCTCCTGGGCACTTTCCTGTCGCTGCGGTTCCGCCTGTTCTGGAACGTGCAAGAAAAGGCGTCGTGCAGGCTCCGGGTCGCCCCGGGTCGCCGGGTCCATCCACTGTGCGCCGGCAGATGGGCGTCTGGTGACGAGGGAGGGGCACTGGGGACAGTCGTGCGCAGACCCGGCGTGGACGTGAGTTTTCGTCTCTCGTGGGGACACCTGCGAGCCCCATTGTCCAATCATAGGGCGAGTGAATGTTCCCCTTAGAGGGAACTGCGACCTGTTTTCCAGATGGCACCCGTCTGTTGTCCCCAGAGTGCGTGCCAGCACTTGGGATTGGCAGTGTCTATTTCTAAGATTTTAGCCGTTGCATAGCGGCTCCCGTCGCCTCTGCCCGGGGACTCGGTGCTGAGCAGCGTTTCGTGTGCTCGTTTTCTGCCTGGATCTCCTCTTTGGTGAAATGTCTTTTCAAATCTTTTCCTGTTTTTTTTTTTTTTTTTTTTTTTTTTTCCNGGCGGGAGCGCCGCCGCGCTTCCCAAGCGGGGCACTATCCAGTGCACCACCGGGCCGGCCCCTTTTCCTGTTTTTTTAAAAATTGGGTTGCTTGGGGCTTTTTGGGTTTTGGTTGTTTCAACTATTGAGTCTTGGGAGTTCTTCGTAGATCCTGCATTTCAGTCCTTTATCAGATGTGCCTTTTGTAAATATTTTCCTGGGAAGGCTTTTACTGCATTCTGTCCAGTGACTGTGGCACGAGCTGGGCAGGGCCCTGGCTGAGAACTGGCACCTCCTGAAACACAGCTCCTTGTGCAGTGTCCCTGGGTGCTCTGTGGGGACCCAGAGAGGTCACCTGGAGAGGCCTTCCTGGCTGCAGCCTCCACCCTGGCGTCATTCCCACCCTCACACTTACGCAATCACTGATAAGGTGGCATCTGGTACCATAATCCACCCTAAGTGCCGGCCCAGCCCCATCCTGTCCCAGACGTGCTTGCTGGAGGTCAAGCAGATGCCGCATGGGGGGCAGTGGAGGTCTGGATAGAGGGGCACCCAGGCCTCTCTTGCTGCTGTGCTGTCCCAGGCTCTGCTCCTGAACGAGGTCCAGAGACCTGGCCAGTGGTGCCCCACCCCGAATTGGGGACGAAAGGGAAGGAGGACGGCTGGGTGACTCAGACCCTACATGGGTGCCCACTGGCAGCACCCCCAGGGCTCTGGCTCCCCAGCCCCTACCGGGCTGGAGGGTAGACAGAGGTGCTTGGGGTATGAGTCCCGTGAGCCATGGCAAGGCCTCCATGTGGCCAGGCAGCTGACCAGGCTGGGCACCTGTGGCTGGTGACGTGCCTGGCAGGTTTGGGGAACAAATCCTCAGCCCGAGTGCGTCAGGCGAGAGCCTGGCTGTCTGGAACCCTCCAGGTAATGACCCCTGGAGCCGGTGGGGACACTTGAGTGATTGTGCCAAACAATGGACAAAGGAGCCTGGAGTTTCCAGAGCCAGGTGCCTTCCGCTCCCAGCCTGCGCCTCCCGTGAACCCAGTGCTGGGCTGGGCTATAAAGCCAAGGTCCCTGGGGCTTGGGGCTGGAGGGCTAGCATGGGGATGAAGTCGGTCCTGCTGAGCCTCGTCCTGGCACTGCTCTGGGTGTCCTCGGCCCAGGCCGAGGTCCTGGTACAGCCTAACTTTGATGCCAAAAAGGTACCGGGGGCTGTGTGTGTGCTGTGGGTGGGGGCGCGCACTGAGCCCCTGCTGGAAACAGTGGTGGTGGCGATAGTAGTAGCAGCAGCCGCCTGTCACTCTGTGCCCGGTCCTGGCGAATGCTTTAGATCAATCCCGGTGAATGCTTGATCAACTCCACTTAATCCTGAAGCCACCCTGAGTGTGGGGTAGTTACTGGGCCTGCTTCACAGGTGGGACAGCCAAGACTCACAGCAGGGCTAGGCCCTGCTGAGGGAGGGGNAACAGTGGTGGTGGCGATAGTAGTAGCAGCAGCCGCCTGTCACTCTGTGCCCGGTCCCGGCGAATGCTTTAGATCAATCCGGGTGAATGCTTGATCAACTCCACTTAATCCTGAAGCCACCCTGCGTGTGGGGTAGTTACTGGGCCTGCTTCACAGGTGGGACAGCCAAGACTCACAGCAGGGCTGGGCCCTGCTGAGGGAGAGGTGTAGCAGGGCTGAGACCCAAGGTGTGGACACACCAGAGACCCCTGGCTGTGTGACTTCAGACCAGTCCCTGTTACTCTGGGCCTTCTGGCTTGTCCCCCTGGGTCCCTGGGCAAGGAGGGTCCAGCTGCCCGCTGTCCTGCCCTGCCGTCACTGAGGTGCCCTGCAGTTCTCAGGCCTCTGGTACGTGGTCTCCATGGTGTCCGACTGCAAGGTCTTCCAGGAGAAGAGAGACCATCTGTTGATGTTCACCAGTACGGTCCAGGCCACCACAGAGGGCGACCTCAGCGTCCACTTGGAGTTCCCACAGTGAGCCGCCAGGGCTGGGGGGCTGCCGGGGGGTGCCGAGGGCGGCCAGGATAGAGAGTGACAGCTGTCTGTGCAGCCCCAGGGCGGATGGCTGTAACCAGGTGGATGCCCAGTACCTGAAGGTGGGCTCGGAGGGGCACTTCAGAGTCCCAGGTAGGTCCTCCTCCACCTGCTGGAACTGGTTCTCCAGAGGTGACATGGGAGGGTTTTTCCACCCAGATGTCCCCAGCTGTCCATCACCGTCTCCAGCCCCTCCCCCATAGCCCCTCCCCCTGTGTCCTCCTCCCCCGCCCCCGCTAGCTCACAGCCCAGGAGCAGGAGCGGGCA